CCACGCCTCCCATTGCGCGCCCCTCTTTTGCAAGCATCTTTTATTCAACGTGTGAGAAACTTTTTCATTTACTTGTTTTTTCTATTTGTTTCGGCTTTATTTCACATAATTTTTGCGCCTTTATGCGAGGAGCCTTTGAAGCGCCATTGAAGGGCAGCCAACCGCGTCGCGTTCACATGTCAAATTGCATGTGAAGCTGTGTGTGCGTGGGTGTGTGTGTGTGGGTGTGTTTGGGTGTAAGTGGGCGTAAGAGTGTCTGTGTGTGTGTGTGCAGGTATGTGTGTGTGTGTGTGTGCTTGGGTCTTAACACAGCTACACATGCTTAATTGTTTGTTTGCTTCTGTGTCTGTGACAGCCGCACGCCTCTCCCTCTCTTCCTCTCCCCCCCCCCCTCCCCCTCTCTCCTGCTGTCTCTATTTACGCTTTGCACGTCGCCTTTTGTTTAGTTTTTACGTCTGGCCAAATGCGAAAGCAGCTCGTAAACTTCAGCGAGAACAACAACAACAACAATAACACAGCCTGAAGGACAACAACTAAATAAGGCTCACGCGTAACAATAGCAAAGGATACCCTACAAAAGCGGGCCTAACGCTTCACAGACCAACTATGGCACAAACCAAAAGACTTCTCTTTAAATTACAATTATTTTTATGGTGTTTTTTTTGGCAGCTTTTAACTGAAACATTTATTTGGAGCACTTAATCAGCCAGCTGCTTCTTGTCTGTTTTTTCTATTTTTTCTATATTTTTTTTTTCCTTCAATTTTATTTTTAGCGTAGTTTTTTTTGAGGCTCAGACAACTTAATGCTATTTGCTTTACACTCCCACGCACACACACACACACACAAAAGCAGACCCAGTTGTGCGCACCTTACAGTCCCTTCGGCATCTCAGTCTCCTTTCTGACACGCCCCCCTACCCTCCTTTCTGGCGCCCCCCTCGCAACAGAGCCTTTGTTTGCCTTTCTTAACAACTTAAGCACGTCGTCTATATTGGTTTTCGGGCGCTACTCTTTTAAAAAAAGATTTCGCTTCCTGCTTTTGCCTTTGCTTTGTGAAAATAATCACGCGCAGCTTTGAGATTCTTTTCTTTATTTATTTTCCACCATTTCTCCCATTTTTCTTCTTTTTTTTTAAGTTTTTTTTGCACAGCTTTTCTTTTGCTTTTTCACACTTGGCTTCTTCCGGTTGGCGCCCGGGCAACTCATAGTGCGGCGCTCTATTGTTTTCTTTTAATTTGTAGCTCTGCTCGTTGCCTTAAAAACTCGACAGGAAGGGCCAACGACTGTGCGTTCATGTCTAACAGCATATTAAGTCAGTGAACCGGTTCACAAGAGCTTTAAATACGTTGTCGAACTGGTTCATAAGGTTATAAGGGTTGCTGTTTGGGGATATAAATCAAATTGTAGACCTTTAAGTTGCATTAAATCAAATTCAAGTTCACGAGAGCTTTGAATATGTTGTTGAACTAGTTCAGAGTGAGAACTAAGAAAGAGTTAAAAACGGTTTACAGTTGAAATCATAAAGACAGCTCCATTAAGGGATTATAAATCATAATGTGAACCTCAAACATTACTTTAGTTTAAATATAAGTTCACAAGAGCTTTACATATTTTGTTGAACTAGTTCAGAGTGAGAGCTACTTAGCTACAGTTGGGTTTTAAACAGTTGGCATCTATTATGAGGATTGCTTTTTTGGAAATATAAATCATAATGTGAAGCTTTGCATTGCATTGAATCAACTTAAAGTTCACGAGAGCTTTAAATAAGTTGTTGAACTAGTTCAGAGTGAGAACTAATAAAAAGTTTAAAACTGTTCACAGTTGAAATCTGATGTAAAAGCTGATTTTAAGGTATACAAATCATAAAGTGAACCTCAACATTAAAGCTTTAAATATGTCGAACTAGTTCAGAGTTGTTGAACTAGTTCAGAGTGAGAAGAACTAAGAAAGAGTGGAAAATAGTTGTAGGGAATATAAAATTTGCATACGCCTTGCTACTCATTCAAAGCTTATACTCGTTGGGAATTATAAGGCATACTGCAATTAATATGACAATAATTGTTTTAATATATTGATTTACTAAAATGTTCCGCCTGCCACCTTGGATTATTATTTACTGAATTACTGAAATTAATTTGATGTTTCTTCGTTTATTTATACAGCCTTGTATTCTCCTTTATTATATAGTTCCATGCCTAAACAGAGATATGAATATGTGGGAATATACAGACAGTTCTATAAATAAACAAAGATGCATCAAGTTAATTTCAGAAATGAATAAACTAATAATAATATTATTTTCCATTCTACTAATGAGGGCCCCAAATAGAAGCCTTGCTCCCATTCTGTCTTGCTAACGAGCTGCTTCATTCCACGTCATAATTTAGCAGAGGTATGACATTTGACTTTTGACATATGACATATGCCGATATCCATCTCAGGTTAATTTCATTTGTGCTATTTCAAGCACGGGTCAGAATGAGTACAGATAACTACAGATAAGTACAGATAAAGGGGATATTTGATTAACCTGCTTTGAGCTTAGCTTCGAATGAGGCATGTTTGGGACATCAATCAAACGGAAAACTTAGACTGTCGGGATTGATCGACTGGTTGATACCCTGAACTCCGCTGCAGTTGAAAACTTTCTCGCTTTCATCTATGAATAATCAAGCATGAATTCCATATAAAGCAGCTCTGCTTCTTCTCTCCACACTGTGGTAAATAACTTCTTAAGTAACTTCGGTATTTAAAGTCCGATCATTATTAAATTTACCAGCCATAAGCATGGCATATATATGCGTGTAAAAAACAAAGCTCAGAGCTATCATTTGGGAGGAACAAGATGAGATTTTGAAAAAGTTGCATGTTTTAACGTGGATTTTATTATAGGAGAAGCTACATTCCAAGTTTTGTGCATCTAGCTCTTATAATTCATTTTGAAAATCGATATTTATCGATATTACGAAAATCAGAGGATAAGAAGTCTGTTGTATACGAGATTATTTATCTCAAATTTTTAGTCTGAAGCTTCTGTAGCTTTTGAGTTCTGCCTGTTGCATACGAGATTATTTATCTCAAATTCAAAGACCGTAGCTTTTGTAGTTGCCGGAATCAACTGACGGACAAGTCGATATGCACTCTATGGGTCATTTTAAATGTCAATAGCTCAGCTGCTCAGTTGAGGCAGAAATGGCGTTAGAATGTGGCAAAGCACCTGGACAGGACTCAGAAGCCATAAGCCAGGAGGCAGGAGCCGGAACATGGCGGCAGTGAAGCAGCGCATGGAAATCAATTTACGGCTAACTAACGGCAAACAAAGCGGCTTCACATGACTGTAAACGACATGGCGAAAACCAATCAGGAGCACTTAATGCCCCACCGAAAGAGAGCGAGAGAGAGAGAGAGAGAGAGAGAGAGGAGAGAGAGAGAGCAAGATTAAGATAGCGGGGCACAAAGAAAATATAGAGCCTGTGCCGCGGCGCTCTGTCTCTGGCATCTGTCAATGCTATTAACTTTTGTGCCGCACACACACACACACACACACGCGCACGCACACAGATAGAGAGACACCTCCACTTGGAGGACATTTATCCTTTGGCGCCTGAGTGTATGCAGCACTTTGTTGCTTAATTGATTTTAATGCCACGCGCACGGGGCCTACAATTTGCCAACGAGTTTCTCGACTCGACTCGAGTCGAGTTGAATTGAGTCTATAAATTGGCTTTTTCCTTTGCCCCGCTATCAACTGCAGCAGCAGCTGCTCTGCTCTGCCGCTCTGCCGCTGCCGCTGCCTCTGCTCTGCTGCTCTGTCCATTTCCCATTTCCATTTCCGTTTTCAATTGCAAAGGAAGCAGCGCTGGCAAAGTGGAGCAAAAAAGAGAGAAATGCCATTTATTGAATTGTATAAATTTCTGCACATTGACAGCGACTGTTTATTTTACACACACACACACACACACAGAGATGTGTGTGTTCTGTGTTTTGTTAAGCTTTATCGCATTTGCATGGCAGCGCCCCCCGTTGGCACGGGTCAAGTGCTTGGACCCGCCGCCCCCCCACCTCGCCCCGCCCCCTCGGGTCACTCATTTGTTCTTTTGATTGGTGGCAAACGCAAAGCGTTTTTGCCTTTGCCCTTTCATGTCCATTTCGCTTTTGTTGTATTAGTAAAATAAATTACCATTTAGTGCTTTTTGCCACTAGCATTGCAGCCACCCCCCCCCCCTCCCCTCTCCTCCCTGTCTCTCTCTGTGTCTCCCCCAAGGCGTCACACATGGTCGACTGTTGTCCTTTGGCCCTGGCAAATGAAATTATTGCTGCAGCTTTGCATCCTTTTGCTTGGATTATAAGCGCACATGTGGGCTGCTCCAGACGTGCCTGTGTGTGCCTGTGTGTGTGTGTGTGAGGGTGTGTGTGTGTGTGAGCGAGAGAGACGCTCACAATTGCAGCCATAATAAATTGCTCGCAATCGCATTTCCGTTTCTTTATGCGCTTCGATTACGTTGCGCTTGACTGCTGCCAGTTCTATGCCCCCCCCCCTCCCCCTCTCCCCTATACCATCCTGATCGTAATTGAATATATAATTTTTTTTAGCTCCTTACACTCACACACATGCACATGCTCGTTCGCTTGTGAGTGGCATTTGAATATAAATCTGCTCGCAAAATATTCATTTCAATTTATTTGACTTTTCTTTTGCTCTCGTCCATTTTTTTTTTGTTTTTGGTGTTGTGTTGTCTGTTTTGCGAGTTTTATTTGTTGTTTAATAAATTATTTATATGTATGTATGTGTGCGTGCTGAGCAGCACTTCCGGCTGCGAAAGTTTTCTATGATTGTCAACCTCTGAGGGACTCGCAGCTGTCTGTGCGTCCTCTCAGGCTCTTAAAGTGATGCCTAAAAGCAAAAGCCACTTTCAACAACTTTGCATTTGACTTTTCGCATAAGTATTTAACTTGACAACTTTTTCATTTTTCTCTCTCTCCATCTTTATCTCTTGCAGTGCCAAGCAAACCTCAGAATCTCACCGTCTTGGATGTCTCCGCGAACAGCATCACAATGTCCTGGCATCCGCCAAAGAATCAAAACGGGGCCATCGCCGGCTATCATGTCTTTCACATACACGACAATCAAACGGGCGTCGAGATTGTCAAAAACTCACGCAACTCGGCCGAAACGCTGATACACTTCGAACTCCAGAGTCTGAGTAAGTACAAAACAAAAAAACCGCATCTTAAAACGAATTGAAATGTAGCAGGAAGTTCACCTTTTAATGCTAGACAGATGCCTATACAGACGCGAAATTTTCATGTTTTGCATAATTTTTTTAATCAACCCACGAAAGTCTCTCGTCTATTTATCCGTGGATATTTGGCACCATTCCTGCAGGATAAGCCAAATATATTCGTGCTTCACGTGCGGAACAGTTTACATTATCTAGAATCACAAATTTGGAGGTCGTAAATAAGACCAGATTAGGGCGCCTTAAGGCTTGGACAACGTCTGCCTGGCACATAAAAAATCTACTGTAAGGCAATTAATATTCAGAAAATTGTAAGCTTAAGAGTCTTGCAGAATCATGCTGCAAACGAAGTTCTTGTCAGCATTTTACAGAGCTACAATATGATTGAGAAAATAAATTTACAGTTTTACTATTTGAAAAATTTGTGGAAAATAAGTGAAATAAGAGAAAGTTAAGACACTTTTTTTATTTAAAATCTGTCATACGTTGACAATTATTAAATTTAAATTATAAATGCTTAGCTCTTTAAGCTTGTAGCTATACGACATTTCATATACTTCTTATGATATTTGTGAAGTGCAATATTTCTAAAAAGCATTCCGAGAACAAACTGAATATTTCTAAAAAGCATGCTGAGAACAATCTGAATATTTCTAAAAAGCATGATTGGGAACAGTCTGAATATGTCTAAAAAGCACGCTGAGAACAATCTGAATATGTCTAAAAAGCATGCTGAGAACAATCTAAATATTTCTAATAAAAAAAAAAAAAAGCATGCTGAGAACAGTCTGAATATGTCTAAAAGCATGCTAGAAAATAGTCTGAATATTTATAAAATGCATGCTGAGAACAATCTGAATATATCTAAAAAGCATGCTGAGAACAGTTTGAATATGTCTAAAAAGCATGCTATGAACAGTTTGAATATGTCTAAAAAGCATGCTGAGGACAGTCTGAATATGTCTAAAAAGCAAGCTTTAGAACAGTCTGAATATGTCTAAAAAAGCATGCTGAGAACAGTCTGAATATGTCTAACAGCATGCTAGAAAATAGTCTGAATATTTATAAAATGCATGCTGAGAACAATCTGAATATATCTAAAAAGCATGCTGAGAACAGTCTGAATATGTCCAAAAAGTATGCTGAGAACAGTCTGAATATCTCTAAAAAGCATGCTGAGAACAGTCTGAATGTGTCTAAAAAGCATGCTGAGAACAGTCTGAATATTTCTTTAAAAAAGCATGCTGAGAACATTCTAAATATTTCGAAAAAGCATAATGAGAACAGACTGAATATTTCTAAAATGCATGCTGAGAACACTCTGAATATGTTTAAAAAGCATGCTGAGAACATTCTGAATATGTCTAAAAAGCATGCTGAGAACAGTCTGAATATTTCTTTAAAAAAAAGCATGCTGGGAACAATCTGAATATTTCGAAAAAGCATGCTGAGCACAGTTTGAAATTTTCCAAAAAAAAACATTCATGCTGAGAACAGTGTGAATATTTCTAAAATGCATGCTGAGAACAGTCTGAATATGTCTAAAAAGCATGCTGAGAACAGTCTGAATATGTCTAAAAGCATGCTAGAAAATAGTCTGAATATTTCTAAAATGCATGCTGAGAACAGTCTGAATATTTCGAAAAAGCATGCTGAGAGCAGTCTTAAATAACAAAGAGTTCTGATAACTTCATATCCTTCGCTCAGTCCTTCTCCTTATGTTCATTATATTATATAGCATACCCAATCTATATGTCTATCTTTATAACTATATATCCCAATCTTAAAGCTCCACAATTTACCTGCTCAAATCCACTTAAATGCCCGCAGCGTTTGCTGAAAATGTGCTTGGCACATTTCGATACACATATTTTCTCAAGTTCGCGGCAATAATTTGTCCGGACACGCTCAAGTGGTTTATTAAAGGCTTTTAAGCTGGCCCGTAACCGCAGCTTATTGGCAGGTACAGTCATGCCGAAAAGGCAGCCGAACAGCACTTAAAACGCCATTTTAATTGCTTTTTATGGTTCGAATCCCCCCCCCCCCCGCACTTTCCACCTTTTCCCCTCGTTCTCCCTTTCGGGCAAAGGTAGCAACAGTCAAGCTGTCAGCGAACGCGGCCAACATTGACGCCCACGCGCCGCACACCGAGTCCTTAGATCCTTGAGGACCCCCCCCCCTTCGAATCCCCCCCCCTCCCCACCGCCCGCTCGGCCCATCCTTTCATTAGCTGTAATTGCAGCTCAAGTCAATTGTTTGCCCGCCGCTTTGTAATTAAATAGTTTCAAGTGTTTTACGCTGGCCACTTTTTGTTTTGTTGTTAACAACTTTTCGACGCCTGTAATTATGAGCCCGGCTTTTTGAGACACCTTTAGAATGCCACGCCCTGCCCCCCCTCCCCACCACCCTTTATTCGCCTGAAGTTAGCTGAAACGCGCTCTAAGTTGAGCTAACCAAACAAATTATTTGCTAGTCGCGAAATTTGATGGTTGTTTCATTAAGCTGAAATGTGCGCCACACCCCCCCCCCCCACCCTCTTCCCACTATTTGCCGCAAACCCTTTGTCATTGCATACTTTTAGGCTGCGTGGCAAGAACAACAGCAGCAGCAGAAGCAGCATGCCACATTATTAGCCAAACAGCAAAAACTGTTGCATAGTTGCATAGTTATCAGAGTGCGAGCGCGTGGAGTGGCACAGAGAGGGGAGAGGGGGCAGGGGGAGGGTGGGGGTACGGCTACCAGCAGCATGCCATGCAATTAACTTGCAACATAAGAACGCGCCGCATTCCGTGCTGCCTCATACGGCTGGCGGCGCCCCCACATTGTTTAATTAATTACGCGCGTCAGGTGCGCCAGTTGCGTTGCCAGGCATGAGTTGCAGCAGCAGCAGCAGCTGCAGCTGCAGCTGTTGTTGTTGTTGTTGCTGCTGTTGCAACCAGCAGCTTTTGTTGCTTGCAACAATTTGCCAAAAGACTTGGCAAATGTGGCACAGCGTGCGCGCTTTTTCAGCAGCTTTGCTTGCCACGTTATTTTACTCTTTTTTTTCTCTCTCTCTCTCGCTTTTTGCATTTAAATATTTAAAGTTTTAATTTGGTTGAAAGTGCAGCAAATTCCGCACGCTTTGTGGCGCCACAATAATTAATAATTTGTCGCTGCATATTAAATCAATTATTGTTGTTTTTGTTGTTAATGTTGCAGTTATTAACGTGCAACACTTGTTCAATGCTTGGCTGCTTAACATCATCAAAAGTTGTCTTTGTTGTTGTCCATTGTTGCTCTTGTTGTGGTTGTTGTTGTTGTTGCTGTTGTTGTTGTTGTTGTTGTCGTTGTTGCGGCTGCTGCTGTGACATTTTCGCATTTAAACTCAAATTTAATTATATCCCAGCTCCCAGCGCTGTCATATCTGGCACGCTTTTCATATTGTGGACACGCTTTATAAATGACCACAAAAAAAAGAGAGGTAGTATTCCAGGCGGCAGTGCTCGACCGGCAGATACCCTGCGCTTACCAACACTCCAACTTGCCCTTCTCACATATACACACACACACACACAAACGCAAGCAGCGGCTGTGCTTCTTCTTCTTCCCTCTTTTCCACACTATTGGGCAACGTATTCCTGCATAACTTCGGTTCTTATAGTCCGATTTCTTTGAAATTTGTGGAGCCTAAATATGCCAGCCAAATGTGTGTAAATACCAAAGCTCAAGGCTATGGGCACCGTACATAAGTTGTTGTACAATTTTGAGGGGAACTTGGGCAGGTTTTCAAAAAGTTAAATTTTTCTTTAAACTACATAGACTATACAAGAACCTAAATACCAACCTAAAATACCTAAATAGGGTTTACATAGCTCTTATAATTCTCGAGCGAGAATCTAAATATCAGCTTCTTATAAGCCTCGAGCTATTGTCAAAAGACAGATGAAGCGAAGTAGGGAGTAAAAGGAGTATAAGATATATATTGATTACTGGATATTATTATCAATTATCAATAGTCTGGCTTGTGGTGTGAAACAGAGTAGACATGAGCTTGATAAGTCGTCCAAGTTTAAAATAATAAATAACTAAATGTCATGGAAATTCCATGATGGAATGTATTAAAGCCCATCCAGACAAATGTCAATTTCTCAAAATCGATATTTATCGATATTCTGCGGCGATAGAATATCGATATATGTAATGATATATTTGCGTATGGTATAAAAGTATATTTATTTCTAGCTTTTAAAGTTTTCACTTGGCAGGACATACAGAAAGATGAACCGATGGATATAGTTACACTCAGCTTGAGGTCCTTAAGGGCTTGCAGATGCTTTCTTCTGCCTCTTACAAACACTTTCACAAAACAATAATACCCTTCTTGCCCCTTTTTTTAATAAGTTGTAAACATGAACAATTGATAATAATTTTAGTCAAGCCATTCCCAATACTCTTTGTATAGTTTCTACGATAAAGAACAGGTATATAAGCTCTATCAGGTTATTCTTTTAAATTAAATCCCTGACTCATCTGCAAATTGCACGTAAATTCACAGCAGGCGCTTTATTTTCATGGTTACCGAGTCATAATAATTGAGTTATAAGAGCCAAGCGCCATGAGCCATGGAAATATTTACATTTAAGGCGGCGACTGGGGCACATGAGAGATAAAAATGAATTTATATATACATGCGTAACATATAGAATAATAAAACATCAAAGTCATTGCAATCACATTGTATTTTAACTCTCTCTCTCTCTCTTTCGTTGTTGTTGTTTCTTTTTTTTGCAGAACCCTTTACCGACTACCGCGTCATTGTCAAAGCGTTTACAACAAAGAACGAGGGCGAGCCATCCGATCAGATTGCCCAGCGTACGGATGTGGGCGGGCCGAGTGCCCCAACGATTGTGAATCTGACGTGTCACTCGCAGGAGTCGATTACGATACGCTGGAAGCGACCCAACGAGTTCTACAATACCATTGACTTTTACATCATCAAAACACGACTCGCCGGCCAGGATACGCACCGTGATATACGCATCAATGCATCGGCCAAGGAGCTGGAAACGGCGGTAAGCATTCCGACCCGACCCGACCCGACCCACAGGCCATTGTTTTTCGAGTCCCATTTCGAGTCCGATTCCGTGTCCAAGCCAGAGCCAGAACGTGGCCAGAACGGGGCCAGAACGGGGCCGGGACGTGGCCGGGACGAGCTGCATGGCCAACTAGCTGGCCAGCAATTTGTCATATATATTCCAGAAGTTTTCGTTTTGCATTCCTGTGTTCTTTATTTTTGTCCTGCATGCCGCCATTTTGTCGGCCATGTTGAAAGCGAGCAGAAATGGGCGAAATGTAGCAAATGGGGGCGGCAACACACACACACACGCACACACACACACACGCACACCTTGTTCATTGTCTGTAAATTGTTGAGCTGCGAGTTCTGTTGTCAGTGTAAAATGTTTTCATTTTACAATTTCTTTTTTCGCTGCGCCAACAAAATGTTGATTGTTGCCAACTTTATGTTGATATTTTGATATTTCTTGTTTTTTTTTTTTCATTTTTTTTTTGGTTTTTGATAAACATTCATAGATAACGGCCAACAAGGGGCAAACTAGAAAGAATTTGACAAAAAAAAAGAAGAAACAAATATAATTGCATTTTTATGTTACAAACAGCATGAATAACCAGTGAAAATATCACAGAAAACTAGGGTCTACTCGACTCTAAAATGCCCTGGATAAAATCATACTAAAAACTGAGTTGAATTCAAAATATTTAAATAGTTTTTTTAAAAGAATATTTTAAAAGCTGTCTCGAGGTTTGGAGTTTTCATTATTTAAATAAAAAATAAAATAAAAGGAATTTGAAGAAAATGTCAAATAGATTTTCTCCAAAATACATTTAAAAAGAAAAAAGAAAATTTTATTGTGAGTAAAGTTTAAAGCACAATCAATTGGGTGGAGAAAAATAAGATCAAATTAATAATAAAAAAAAGGAGAAAAATATTAAATTAATTAAAATTTATTAAAAAAAAAATATTAATAAAAAAATATCATCAGATATAAAAATCTGTCATCTTTGGACAATGTTATGAAAGTTTTGAGGATGCAATTACAAGCAAGTTTTTAGCTTCATAAATTAAAATTTATAATATTTTTGGCATAGTTTTTGACAACAATTTTTACACTTTTTTAGAATACACTTTTGGGATAAAAGTAAAATCTGTTAAACATAAAAACTCATTTGGAATCATATTTTCAAATTTAAAATGTAATAGATTCTATTTTTAACATAAAAATGGTTTTTAAAAAATGTCTGGAAAGAAATTTCGCAAAAATGTTATTTTTCCAAAATTAAACAAATTAAAATACAAATGTAATTCAGAAGAAAAAAAAAACACGAGATGTTTATCAATAAAAATAGGTTCCTTTTTTCGACAAATTTATGTGGGCTCAAAATTCCTTAAGTTTTGTCAAAGTTATGAGGACTTAAAATTCTTGAAACCCAGACAGCTTTGTCAAAACTGAATACACATATATATATTCCTAGCGGACTTTTACTATAGAAAAATCATCTCATTTTATGGAAATATCATCAGTTAATGGATTTGTGCTCAATACAAACCGGAATTAGTTATGCTTCCAGCAAGGCAAGGGTAGCACTGATATAGCTTCTAGAGGAGCATAAAAAAACCCTATCAAAAAGTCGTGTAAATATTTTACAAATATTTATCTGCAGTCGCGCCCACACGGGCCAGGACTATGGCCAGGACCAAGGCTTTGGCTTTGTCTTTGTGGAACATAAATTCTGTGGCAAAACAATACACTCACACACTCACACACACACACACACACACACTCACACACAGCTGCCACACCTGTACGTATTTGCGTAGCAAATAAATTAAATTTATGCTGTTTTTACTTTTTTGTGGCTTGTTTTGTCAGCAGCTCGCCCAGTTTTTATTTAGCGCCAAAAATAAATAAATAAAATGCCGCAGCAAAACAAGTTGGCAAAAAAAAAAAAAATGTGCATATAAAAAAAAAAGAGAGCGTATTGCAACAATAAAATTTTATTATTGCCGCACAAAGTACTAACTTTTTCATATGCAGCTCAACGGGGTTTTTGTGTTGTTTAGTTTTGTTTTACTTTTAGTTTTAGTTGTAGTTTTTTTTATTTATATTTCTATTTGTTATATGAGCTTAGGCTCGGTTCAAATAATTTCAATGTTTTCCAGACAAACAAATCAAAATTTGAAATCAAAAAGCGCGCCTTTTTAATTTTAGTTGACTGACTAAAAAATATAAATAAATATTTACATATTTATATATTGTTTTGAACATTATTATTATATATTTTTTTAAATATTTACATATGTTCATAATTAATACTCTATTCTTCTATGTCTGCTGCGGACGAAATGTTCAAGTATATTTCATTTTATAGCTACGACCACCAAGAAGGTATAGGGTATCCACTAGTCGGACACTCCCGACAAGAACACCTCTTAATTGTTTTCTTATACATTCTAAATAAGCAGCAAAATAGAGCCTTATATTTTAAGCAAATATAAAGCTGGGCTATATAAATTGTCTCAATTTTGGCAAAGCTTAAATTTAAAAAATATATTAAACAACTTCTTAAATATTATATTTGCCTGTCCTTTAATATTTAGATTACCTTGAATATTTATAATATAATCATGTGAATATTTTCTCATATATCATTTCTGATTTCTCTTCCTATTTCTATGCAGATGATATTACAAAATCTGACAACAAATTCGTACTATGAAGTCAAAGTGGCAGCGGCCACATTCAGCGTTATAAATCCCAAGAAAATTGTGTTGGGCAAATTTTCGGATTCACGAATTGTAAGTACACACACCCAACTACACACACTCACACACACACACACATGCACACCTGCCAGCTAGGCAAATCAGAAATGCAATGCTATGCTAAAGCCAGCTTTTGGCGGGCGTGGCATGCCATAAAATTGGCTATGATATTACAAAATGGCCGCGGCGTTGCCAGATCTGATAACACACATACACACACACACACAGACACATACTCACATGCATATTGTCCGCCTGTCGAGCTGCTGTTCTGTCTATTCTCTCAGCCTGCAGCATATTTTTGCCCGCCTTTGGCTAAAAGTTTATTGCATATTTGCCAGTTTTTAGGCCACGTCATAAGCAAAAGCCACACATTATTTATATGTACCACTACACTGAGAGAAAAGTTCACAAGCTTAAGACTTTGTTCAAGTAAAATGCTTGAAAGTAAAGCGAAACCAAACTTGGCTGAGACCAAGTATTTGATCAAGTGAGCTTAAATCAAGTAAACTCTGTCTTGAAAGTACGTTAAGGCCCGTTAACTTAATTTCTATACAGAAATCTTATATCAAATATTATTTGATATACGCAGAAACTTGAATCGAGGCTGTAACAAAATAATGAGAAATCATTGGAGAAAATGAAATTGAAAAAGAACTTTTTGATTGATTTGCGCTCGAAACCTTGACAATTTGTATGCTTAATTTAAGATTCTTTTGAACAAGTTTTTAATTTAGTACGAGATTTGCTTTAATCTAGAAATTTTAGATTTATTCGAACTTAAAACTTTGATATTTTGTACGGATGTCCGAAATCGAGTACGAATATGCTTAATTGAAGAACTTTTTGATTGATTTGCGCTCAAAACCCTAAGAACTCTTATGATTAATAAGATTAAGATAAGATTCTGTAGAACAGTTTTAAATTTTGGTAGGAATTTTGAATAAAAGAAATTTAAGTTTTATTTGAAGTACGAATATGCTTGATTAAAGAACTTTTCGATTGAATCGAGATCATACCTGGAGAAGTTTTTAGCTTAATTTAAGATTCTTCAGAGCGCATTTATGGAATAAAAATAGGAATAATGCTTGATTCATGTACTTTAAGACTGATTCGCACTTAAAAACTTGAGAATCTTTACTTTTAAAATAAAATTCTTTAGAATAAGTTGGAAATTAAGTCAGAATTGTGCTTGATTCATGAGCTTTGTTTGATTAGCGCTCAAAACCCTTAAAAACTATTCATTAATAAATGAAACAAACAAATAATAAACACAATAAGCACATCGAACAGGATTATCTTTGGACCACAGTTTTTCTCGCCGTGTTTAAACTAATAACGGTTTGTGTTTTGTGGCATATCAATTTGCGTTCGGGCCTGGCATGCAGTGGCTGGAGTATGTGGCGTATGCGTAATAAGCGTTTATGCATATTTAATGGCAATTTGTCAAGCATAATCACGCCACGCCCATCGCTTTGCCCATTGTTTACGCTCGCCAGTTTATTGACTTTTCAACTCTGTCACAATATCTTGTCATAACAACATCCTTAATGACACATAGCCCATCACACACACACACACACACACACACACAGAGAGAATTTGCTGCATGCATTAAACATGTTTTGCAGCCGTGACAAAATATGCCAATTTAGCTGACCTCGTTGCCCATGGTTGCGGTGGGCGTAACATTGCCACGCCCCCATAACTTGTGCAGTCTCCGTATGTGCTTTTTTCTGCTCCTTTCCATTTTCCTTTGGTTTTCCTCGTCTGCACACATTTCCATATAATTCATTGCTGCTGCTTGGCTTTCGCCTGCATTTCAAGTGGCTGCACCTTTTGGCCATATTTATATGCTACGCTTCCGCTGGCCCCGTTTCCATTTTACATTTTCAATTTTACATTTTCCATTTTCACATTCACATCCAGTTACACTTCCGCTTAAGCGCACAAGCCACACAAATGTTTCTTAAATAAATATTATTTATGCAACAACAAGCGGCAAATGCAAACCAAAGAAATATTTATTTTCATTTTTTACAAGTTGCTAAATGGTCAAAAATAAGACGGAAAAAATATCAAGATATCAGAGCAAAATAAAGTTCAAATTAAAAGCGCTGAGAAAAATATATTAACAGTCAGGAAACTATATCATAGAGTCTAGAGACTTGAAATAGTATAATATTCCATAATTTATAATGAATATCATATCGATTCATATCGAACATAGCTCGAAAATTAGAAGAATCTTTTCCCAAAATTGGGTAAAAAGCCCATTCTTAAAGGTAGAACCTTGCGCTTTGGTATATAGACAATTTTGTATGTCATACTTAAGTTGTGAAAATTTCAAAAAGATCGGACTACAAACACCGAAGTTACGCTAGACTGCATTTCTTATAGAGCAGATCTAATGGAAGAAGAAGCACGGCGAGCGTGTCTCTGTGTATGTGTGTGTGTGTGTATTTTCGAATGTCTAGAAGAAGATTCGAGTGCTTGTAGCGTCAGCTTAGCGCTGGTCTAGAGTATCTACTAGTCGAGCCTTATCTCTCTTGAGGCTTTTAATAAGAAAATGTATGCAGCATTATGTTAAAATCAACACAAAAGCTTAGCATACGCCCAGGCGCCGCGGCTAAGCAAATATTTGCCTGCCTTTGGGACGTGTCGGCTGCAGGCAAAAGACATTAATCCCAGCATGCGGAGAAGACAAACACAAGCCCGAAAATTAAACCGCAACTAAACTTGTTCCTTTCTTTTATGCGACTTTCAGATACAATTGCAGCCGAATTGCGAGAAGCTGCAGCCGCTGCTGCGGCAATCGCACAACGATTACAACCTGGCCGTCTTGGTGGGCATCATATTCAGCTGCTTCGGCATCATTCTGATTGTCATGGCGTTCTTCCTATGGAGGTAAGTGGCGCTCCCTGTTAACACACAAGCCCAATCTCATCCCATCCCCAATCCCGTGGCAACTCAACCCTCGCAGTTCGCTCCTCGCACCACGTAATTCCAAGCAATAACAAGTGCAGCTGCAGAGCGCGACGCGTGCTGCCCCATAAATTCACGCAGAAAGCCAGTGCATGGCAGTTGGGTATGCCCGACTGCGCAATGCTCTGTTAAACTTTTCATGAAACAGCCCAACTGAAAACTAAACCAAACCAAGTTCTCAAAAAGAATCAAAACTATTTTATTTATTTTTAATTATTAAGAGAAATGATTATTTAAATATAAAAACAAACAGTTTTATCGAGAATAGCATATAAAAAAACACATAAAAATTAAAACTGTAAAACGAATAATTCTAGCGAAAATTTAAAATAATATGAGCTTGAACTTTGGACCAAAAATCGGGGGGTCAAAGATGTGCACGAGTTGAACCTTAAGGCAAGGTTGATTGATTTGTAAACCGAACCACGGACTCTTAGACTGTAAGCCCAGGGCAGTGACTCTCAAACTGTGACGTTTAGCAATTTATAGGAATATGACTTGATCTTTAAAGAATCTGATCAAAACATCGTAAGTTATTCATTTCGGTGCATTCACCCGCCTCCTAGTGGGTGTGGCTAACAAATCTGTATTGCTCCGGCAGTGCAAATATACCCGATTGCAGATTTCTAATTCCACAAAACCAATATGCCCTTGTTCACTTTGTGAAGAGCGTATAATAGAAGACGCCCAGATCTCCGTTACGGAGTGTTGTCTGTTGTCTCAACACGCGCCACACTCCACGCTGAAGCAACTCGCCTCGCCCCCGCCCCCGGCCCTGCCCCCGCGGCGAGGCATAAAAATAGTCGAGGCCACAAATCAAAGTGTCGACCGGGAGGCAAATGTTGCATCCGCACAGCAGGCTGCTATTTTGGTGCGTGCAAAGATGAAAATGTTTTTATTTCGTATTTAATTATCCCAAAATCAACATAGACACACATATATATATATATATATACATATATCGGGGCAGATATATCTATTATAATGTGGCAGCAAACGCAACGGGACGTCGAACTGTCTCTGCAGCGAGGCAGAAAGAGTTTCGAGCATTTGCGGGATTAACAATCCCATAGCTGGGGCATGAACAGAGCTCATTGGTAAGCACTGCAACATGTGTTTCGCGCTCTGTTTGGATTTATGAAAAACTACGCACCAAATAAAAAAAAAGAGAAGAAAACAACTCAATTGAAGCATAACGAGAAATCGAACATCGAATTTTCCATTGCTTTTCAACTTTGTTCTTGGAGTTTAACCCAGTTTTGTGATCCAATTGCAAATCAGCTAAAAATCTGAATCTAAACTGAAAAAATATTTTTCAATATTTATTTCAATTGAAATGAATGTCAGATTTAAAATATTTTTCATAAATCATTTTGAAAACTAGGCGAAATCAATAAAATCCGGCATAATTCATAAAAGTCTTGCGAATTTTATAATATTTTCAACTTGTTTTATGAAATTAGCTCAGGCGCGGCCAACTTAACTGGCTCGCAAAGACCTTTAACTCAGGCGCGGCCAACTTAACTGGCTCGCAAAGACATTAAAATCAGGCGCAGCCAACTTAACTGGCTCGCAGATCAGTTTAGCTCAATCGCAGCCAACTTAACTGGCTCCCAAACCTGTTTAACTCTGGCGCAGCCAACTTAACTTACCCATAGAGCTGCCAGATCACTTTGCAAAACTAGTCTAGAATATTAAATGTTAAATTTTTACTCTTAAAACGTAAGAAGAGTAAAAGGGAACCAAAAGAAAAAAAGAAATATGAATTCCACCTTTATGCGGCAGTGCAAACAAGCATAAAAACGCGCTCCTCCGCACGGCAAACTTGCGCATCCTTTGAAACTGAAGTCCAGTGAATGCGAAAGCAAACAGACAAGAAGAAAATACCCAGAAAACCAGAATTCAGTCTACGGGCTGGGCCCACTCCAAAATGGGACTCCCAACGCCCGCATATTCATTAGAAATGTTAATTAAAATTCAAATCACGAAAACATAAACCCGGCGGGCACGTCATACGGAACGGAATGGCATGAAACGAAACGAAACGAAACGAGACGAGAGGAAACGAGACGAAACGGAAGGCGGTGGAAAGACAAGCAAACAGTTTTAAGTTACTTAAAGTCTTTATTAAATGTGCGCGTGGTTAACCCGTTGCCAGTGTTACCCAATTTAAAAAAGAAAAAAAAAACAAAGACTCCGGCAACGTTATTGCCCGCCCCCGGCCCGCCCACACACTCACACCCACGCCCACGCACACAGCCCCGCCCCCGCCTGCTAAAGAAAATGCGAAGCATTTTTAACTTCAATGAAATATTTTTACTTCTTGTTTCTTTTTTTTTATTTCTTTTTTTTTTGCCATTTTTCATGCTCCCGCGAATATGTCAAATAAAAGTTACCGCTCGCATTTCCCACACCCTGTTGCAACCGCGCCCTCCGCCCCCGCCGCCCCTGCCCACACTGCGCCCACTTTACTAACAAATTAATGCCATTTTATTTATTTTTTACAAATACTGCGGAAAGTTAAGGACGCAATAAATAGAAGGGTAGCGTCGGGGCCAGGCACTTTCTAAAGGCGAAACCCATTTTTCAAGTTAGCCGCGTTTTAGAGCGGAAAAAATTATATATTTTATTCAGCAAACAAACAAACAAAACAAATTTCCACAATTTCCCTTTCAATGCGAACAAATAAAAGATCCCAGCCAAGTGTAAATAGGCATTAAAATAAAAGGGTTTCGGTTAGCTACTGCCCAGAGTTGACTAGCTAATTTGCATGGATTGGCTTCCATGGCCACTCGAAAGGCAGCGGCAGCTCTTGCAGTCCGGGCTGAACTGTAAGCGAACGATTTTAAGTATTTCAAGATAAGTAGAAACTATATTTATGCCACGGCAGATGAGCTGTCTACGTGATCCAGTCAGTTGAGTTAACCGGGCAGCATGATATAAGAGCTTAAGCCAGTTGAAAATGGTTTATTTCAAACGATTTGGCTTGTGACTCTAAGACTGTAAGCTCAAAGCAGTGACTTTCAAACTTTAATTGACTTTTTGGCACAAAATGTTTGAACTAATCTTTTAAGCAGCTCGGCGGTAGACTAGACGCAGCCAACTTAACTTGTTCGCAGAGCTACCTATCCCAGGCGCAGCCAACTTAACTGGTTCTCAGAGTCGTTTTATTTAGGCGCAGCCAACTTAACTTACCCACAGAGCTGCTCAGTGCTGCCTGATCGCTTGCAAAACTGGTCCAGAATAAGGAGTTAAGAGAATACAGGGATATAAAAAAGGGGAAATAAAAGAGAAAGATACAAAATGGGCGAGCATTATATTTTAACGGATATATTTATATATTGTATAAAAAGAACTTTTGTAGTGCTTTTATAGTATAATATTGAAACTAGTTAGCACTTAAATTGTTTTTCTAAAACAATTTATTATTTAATTGTTGTCAGAATTCAAGTCCTTTACACAACTCTCTCCTGCGCCGCCCCCTCATATGCCACGCCTGCTTGTCTCAACTATTTGAAGAGCTCAACTCAATTGCTTGTATGAAATACTTTCTTCAATAGTTCAACTCTAACTTTTGTTCGCGCAACTTTTCTGCTGATGCCACGAAAAAAAAACAGAAGGAAGCAGCAAAAAATACTCAAGAGATTTTTATTGGAACAATTTGTTGGTTACAATACAAAAATATGTCAACGATAACAACAATTTTTATTTACATTTTGACGCCACATATAAAATAAAAAAGGACAACAAAATGGCAACAAAAATGGAAAAACTTTCGCCCCACAAATACGCATACATATGTATGTCCGTCTTTTCTTCGCCATTCCACATACTCTCTCTCTCTCTCTCTCCCTTCCTCCCTGTTGGTAGTTTCATATTTTATGCAGTTTGGCAACATTGTTTTGCGGGCTTTATTTGGCCCCATGCCCTGTGTGTGTGTGTGTGTGTGCGTGCGGGGTCAGACGAAGAGTTTTTCCGCCAACTTTTGCCTTTGGCCCCGGCAAAATAAAAAACAACAAATGTTGGCAAGAAATTGTTTTGGCTTCGTATGCGAAATTTTTTTTTTTTTGTTGGCCCAACCTTTTGTTGTTGAGCAGAAATATTAGAAGCACGTGTATACGTACAATTCGAGGTGGGAGGGGGGCGGAATTCGGGCTGGGGTCAATAATGGAGTAAGGTAAGTTAAGCTCAGGTCTTTGTGTGTGAAACCCTTGTGCTAAAGCTAAATATATGACCGTATAAGATTTCACTTCATCAGTTTCGCTCAGTGTACAGGTATCCCATTATTATTATTTTTTACATATATATTTTTCTTAATCTTTAGTGAACTCCTGCTGAAAGTTTTTCAACTTTAACTTGGCATTCACTTCTATGTACATTCTGCTTTTCTTTCAACAACAACTGACAAAAGTTATCATAAACTTTAACCCCACAATTGTTGTTCTGCTTATGTGAATTAGACAAACAATACACTTATCTATTGATGATTTTCAAATTGTTTTCCTAATTGCTTTATTTATGAGCGCAAAGTTAACAGAAGTAACAAGGGGTTTAATTTTGTACCCAGTATTTTTTCAAACAATAACAGAAAATTGCACAAGTTGGGAACTACTTTGCGCTGTTAATGACAACAGTCTTTAAAAGTATTTAATTAAGGAATTTTATGACAATAATTAATAATACATTTATCTATAGTTTACAAAACTCAAATTTATGATATTCAATTAGTTGATTGCTTAATTTATGGTTAACAGAAACCACGAGGGGTTTATTTTTGTGCCCAGTATTTTTTAACAATAACAGAAAATTACTAAAAAACTACTATCGCTCATCAAGTTTGCAGCGAGGAGAGATAACATTAAAAACTAGGCGCTGTGTAAGCTCGCTGTTATATGCGTGTCTTATCACACGCAGCTGTTTGT